TATTTTTATTTCTATTTTTCCAAGACCTCTGTGCCCCCTGTCGAGGGGTGACAAGGGCTGAATCCTCCCCACAGGTTTCCGGTTTTCTCCCAGTTTAGAGTCACCGCAGCCAGGCTCTGTCTCTATCTCCCCTCTCCAGGGCCTGGGACACAGTCGCGGTCTGAATGAGTTCCTAACAAGGAAAACACCCCTGGTTTTATAGAGAATTTGTTCAGGCTTTTGGAGAGCATCTGGGATGCCCTCGGTCAGGACTGCTCACACCCAGCGTGATCACACTCTTCCATCTCAAAAATCTATGGTTCGCAAAGGCTGCCATCTTGCTCGACACTTGACTTGGGCTCGAAAGCTGTTCTGTTTCCTCCAGTAACGGTGGGAGAAAGCCTCCTGGGGTCCAGATAAACACCCATATCCTGATCAACCACTCCCCCCTCACGGACGCTAGCCGCTGGATCCAGGTCCTGTCGACACGAACGCTTTCTCCCACGCCCAACGTTGTAACTCTAAAAATGAGGGCCCGTGACCCGATCCTAACCCGATGAGGGCCTCTTTGACTTTTTCGGGGAACTAACATTTTGTGGAATCCCGATGGTCTAATTCTCTCTTTTCGTTCAACAGTCTCTCACTGAGCTTGGCAATAGGCCATTCCCTGAAGTCAAGCTAGGAGGCCGTCAGAGACACGGCAGGGTGCCCACGCTCACACGGCCCAGGTACCCGCCTTGGACATCAGTACCGTCCCCCAGGTCTTTCCAGTTCTTGTCCTGGACACGTGGTAGGACTCGATGCCCTGCCCCCTTCACATTAGGGGAGGACACCACACTTGCTTGGCCAACGAAGTATGAGCAGAAGTGACACGTGCTACTGCTCTGAGCCAGAACGTCACTCGCCATAGTCTCGTTCTCTCTGCCGCAGTGACCGGCCACGCTCCGGAGGGTGGCTGCGCCATCGGCCTGGGGCTCAGAGTGAGGACACCACGCAGCAGAGCCCACGGCTGACCCAGACCGGGTGTGCAGGAGGCACAAGAAAGAAACCTTGGCGGTTTCACATCGCAGCTTGTGGGGCTGTTTGTTACGCCCGCAGAGCCTCACCCGTCCTGACCGATGCAAACCGGTGCTTGAAAACGTTCCATAGCTGCTGTGAACCTGCTTGCTGCTTGAAAGGAAGGAACGAGAAAACAGCAAGAGGGACAGAAGCGGAGGGTCCACAGCAAACTAACTATCTGTCTGTCACTCCTTAAAGCTGCGTGGTCTTCTCACGCTCTCCTGCTTGTAGGCCCGTGTCCTTCTGTTCCGGAGATGGTTCCCTTTCTCTGCCTGGGTGAACTCCCTCAAACTGCCACCAAATCCCAGAGCACCGTCTCTGGGGGTTTCTCCTCCCGACAACCTCTGCTTCCAGCAGGACTGTGGATGGACTCGCCCTCCGCGCACAAGGACACAGTAAGGCGGCACGTAGCGTCGGGAAGGCGGCTCGGAGGACAACCTCCAGGGCACCGACTTTCCCCCCGACGGAGCACATCCGTCAGGTGCGCAGAACAGCTCCCCCCAGACCAAAACTCATCGGGCCCCAGACAGCAGGGGTGCCGCATCTGAGACACCCTTTTCCACAGCTCGAAGGCCTGGCTTCACGTCCTGAGGCTTCCGTGACTGTGATCTGGGGCACGTCACGTGACCCCTCGCTCAACGCGTAGCCGTAGCAAATACAGGCCCCGGCCGCTGCCACTTAACTAAGGTTCCCAGAAGGTAGGATCTACGCTTTGACGTACACACAGGTCCCTACCTGTCAGCACAACGTGGATGCACTCAGCACCCAGTAAATGTCTGTGGGCTGTGTCAGGAAAGAGCGGACCCTTTCCGGAAACCACCAGTTTGTAAGTAGTGGACACAGCCCTCCGCCTGGTCCCCCAAGGACAGGGTCTGTGCGTGTAGCCGACCTTCGCGGGTCTGCGCGTCGGGTATCCTATCACTTCCAGTTGACCTCAAAGTACCAGCGCCATTACGGTAACTCTCAGTTAACCAGACTATTTCAGCAACGAGACCAACGCACAGCACCCTGGAAGAATGCGGGTTCACGGGAAATAAATGTTATGACCGCGACACTATCTGGAGAAGCGACTTGAAGCCGAATGAACCAGTCACCGATGGCCATAACACATTTTATTTATTCGACCTCAACCCGAGCACAGATAGCAAGTTTTAACTGGAACCAGGAATGTAACAAGAGGGTTCCCCCCCCACCTTTCCTCGCCTCTATTGAACAAGTTCAAACGGGAATCAAACCTATTGGTTTATTTTAAGTTTATTTATTTAATTTTGAAAGAGAGAGAGGCGAGGAGGGGCAGAGAGAGAGAGGGGGAGAGAGAAGCCCAAGCAGGCTCCGCGCCGTCAGTGCAGAGCCCTCCGCGGGGCTCGAACTCACGAACCGTGAGATCGTGACCTGGGCCGAAATCCAGAGGCGGGCGCTCGGCCAACTGAGCCACCCAGGAGCCCACCCCCACCCCCCTCAAACGGAGGCTTTGAAAAAGTACCAAACCAGAAAAATATTCTGAACCAAACCGTCATGTGATTCAGCGACCTCTTTGATCTTGGGCCCCATCAAATGACGGCTGAGAGGGGCCGGAATATTCCAGTAGGGCCACAGGGACTGTGTGGAAAGCCTGCGATCGTCTACCCCCATGACACTATCTCTACTAGCCGGGCTCAGGGGACTCCTGTCAAAATGCTCTGTTCATTCTCCGAGAACCCCCTGAGCCACACAGAAAACAATCCCTTCTTTGTGGGAGACTGTTTGTACAAATTCACCAAAGGAGGTTTGGCAAATATTATACTTCATTCTACCGGGGAAGAAACAGTCACGCCTTTTCATTTCTTATGACTCACTGAAACAGACGAAGGATGCGTACTTCACACGCACTGTGAAGTCCCAGGTACATCACGAGGCGGAGAAACAAAAGTAAACACATTCTTAAGCGGAGGACATCCACGGGACCTCACCCCATTAACACCCAAGGCCACTTCCTGCTGCCCCTCCTGGGACAGGAGGCAAGAGGCAAAAAACCATCAACAACGCTGCCCACCGGCCCGCCATGCGAGGTGCGACCTCGGTGCTGGTTTTCGAGAGAAACAAAGGACCCCGGTCACCACTGCTTCGAGCAGTTTTAAATTCGACACCCGCTTTTTCTTTCGTGTGTAATCAACACAAAAAGGGAAGCGTTTCTGGGACCTTCAGCACGACCCTGTTGCAAAACTAAACCCCAAAGCGCAGGCCGGGCTGAAGAGGTGCAAAGGGAAGCTGGCTGGGGGGCCTGCTCCTTAGCCGGGGTCCTCAGGGAGGCCCGGAGGGAGGCCCACTGAGGGGCCAAGGAGACAATCCGGGCTCGTGCCTTTGGTTTTCTCCTTATTTCCGGGCCCAACAATCAATAGACAACTTGCCTTAACTACAGCCCCCC